AGAAAGAATTTGATACACCAGTAGATTTTTGTTTCAAAACTAATTTAAAACCAACATGTGATATTTGCGGTGAAATTGCTGTAATTTCTTGCGCATGGTGTAAAAAATCCCTTTGTATAAATCATTTCTTTCATGATCATCATCTTTGTAACCGATATCAACCATGAATATTTGTTATTCTTGTATGCAATAATTATGTACGGTATTTTATGTAATATTTCCATATACATATATATAATGACTTCGGAATACAACTTTATTATATATGATTGAATTTGTCGTTAAATGAGCTATAAGTTTTGTTATGAGACAAATTTAAAAATTTTCAAACATTAAAAGGGAGGGGGGGGATTTCGAAAAATATGACATTTTCGACAAATCTGATTACATGATTTTGAAGTACATTAAAGACCATAAAACTTTTATTTTGAAACTTTTGTTTATATCTCTTATCGCTTCGACGGTATCCGCTGAGAAATGAAAAAATCGATTTTTTTCAAGAAGGTGTTTCACCCCCTTAACGGCCGACTCAGCACTTATAAAAAAATACGTGTCTCCTATTTTGATCTAGACTACAACATATTCAAAGCTCATTAAAATCGGAGGGGGACACTTCCGACCCTTTCCTTGTGAGTTATCCAGACCTCACACCTAATGCTGCTTTTTAACAATGATATGCGATTTCAGAGTGATGTTGGTATCTTGCTCGATGGATACAATGCTGATTGCCATGGAGGATCCTTGAAAAGGTCGCTCGCTGATCAAATAAGTGCCGAAAAGTACTGAAAAGCCCATCACCTTTCCTGTAGAATCTGAAAATTCATCACAGACCTATTCAGGTATCCTCCATAATCCAGCTAAATCTCTCTTGTCTCGTTACACACACCACACACCACACACACACCACACACACACACCACACACACACACACACACACACACACACACACACACACACACACACATATATGTATCTAGATGCAACATTAGGTGCGCATAGAAAGTTCTTTCTCACATAGTTTTCTCGCGTTTTTCAATAGCCGTAATAACGCGTAATGTGTTATATACAAAGTGCATTATTATATTTAATATATTTAATTGTTTTCAATAGAAATTTTTTTCTCTCCTTGCACTTTAATATTCTTTTTCGCACGGAGGGGAGTCTGACGATACCTTAAATTTCATCAAAATACATACGTTACTGAGAATTCATAGCGTTTGTTGGTGTGCATGCGCGGACTTTATTCCCATAACAGCGCGTCACTGCTTTAACCTCCCGAATGGGTCTCCACCTTGGCATGGTGGAGCGGCTTCGGTCGCATCCGGGCCCACTCATTAAAGAGTAGAGCCTGGTGCGAACAATGAAGAGGAACCTCCAAATCAAGGTGTTAATGAAACCGTGCCGACGGCTGCGTGGCACAGAAACGCTGCGTCTCTAATGGTTCCCCCGGATCGGGTGATATCCAGGATATTTAATCAAGTCCCAGCCATTCGCGGCTCTGGTTGAGTGATATCGCGCATCCGCGATTCTCATGGAACGAAAATGGACTTGACAAATGTACCAAATAAAAACGATAAGACATCACTATATACAAAGTCCTCTAGGGCGTGGCTTCCATAGAGACCGAACAACTGGAGGAATGCAACTCGGGGATACCTAAACACCCAAGTCAAATACAGCGGAGTATCAAAGAGACGCTACAAGAAACAGCTTCTAAGGGAAGGAGGGGCTACGAAAGCCCAAATCCATCCCGCTGAAGTTAATTCTAGTCCTGGGCCTAGTAGCGGTGGAGCCCCAACTGTGGTGCTTAAAACGCGCCCGGTCGGGGAATAACATCCCTAGCACCATCGATACTCGCCAGAGCAAACGACCTAAGATCAATGATCAAGGATCATATGTCCAAACGACCAAAAGACTAGCTCTCATTTTTGGAGAGCTTTTCTAATAAGCAGCTAGGAGCCGCGGATTTTGGATTGATCAGGAAAATGATTAGAGGCCGTGAGTTACCCGAGGGTATAAAAGCCCTCACATTTTCAGGCTCCTGGGAGATAGACCTTTGTTTTTGTGTACAACGAGCAGTCAGGGAACTGGTTAAAAAGCCTATCCTCCGATCTGAAAGAGGGGAGAAACGCCCTACGTATAGTGCAGGTCGATGCCTAGGCGCCATCAAGTGATGGTACACGTGAAGGAGCCAGACATGTCTGCTGAGGAAGCCTTAAGACTCCTCGGCAGACAAAACGCAGGACTAGCGACCGGAGATTGCCTAAATATGATGGTTTCCACGGTATCCATCATATAAATTAACTTGCATCACAGTAAAAGCGCCTCGGCCATCCTTGCCAGGAGCACAGCTGCGATGCACACACACTTTGCCATTATCCAGAAGCCTTGAATAATGCCATCAAAGGTTTAAGCAGCTGTGGAACTATTTTCAGATCCTGTTCGAACTGCAAACTAAAGACATGCATTACAGCAAAAGCCATTAATATCACTTCAGCTTAACAGCGAAGACCTGACTGTCGTCCAGACGAGCAATCTGAAGAATCAATCTCAAGAAGGGGAAGACGATGGACTTACTCATAAGGTCATCATATATGCCCTACGAATTCTGTGATCCTCCAGGACAATGTTAAAAACCTGATTGCCCATGCTGAAGAGGTGGGACTTGAACTCCTCGTGGACTGTGACGCTAACTCAGTGATGGTGATGGTAGGCCGGGCGAGTTTTTCGCACATGCGCTGCGAACGCGGCATTAACGAAGTATCTAGTAAAAGCAAAAGGGGTGCCCGAGAGGAGAGAGCCTTCACGACTTAGGCAAGGGACTCATCATCCTAACAGAGGTACGGAGCCCATCTTTATGGATGCCAGAAGACAAGAGGCAATTGATATTACTATTTATACTGAAAGCGTGTCTGAACTGATAGGAGACTGGAGGATCTTAGATGAACTTTCGGGATCTGACCATAGGCAGATATGTCTCACCCTCCGCCAACAACCCACGAATTCGTGGAAGCGGAAAATTGAATTGGGACGGCTTCAGATTAGATCTGAGAAACAGACTAACTACCGTTCCGACCAGATTCCATAACAGGGATCAACCAGGGAATAACCTGGAAACAGTCGCGGCTTATTTAAGCAACGTTATTTCGCCTTTAAGGCGAATTACTCCCTGAAACTTATACGATCTGAAACTAAAGTCCTTTGGTGGAATAAAGAGCTATGCTCAGATTCGAGACCAGGAGACTTTTTAACAAGGCTAGAAATTCTTGCCTGCCTTTGCACTGTGAAACTTTTAGGAACGCTCAACGCAGGTATAGCAGAGAAATAGTCAGAAATAAACGTAGTAGTTGTAGAGAGTTTTGCGAAAACGTCGAAAGTGCTCCAGAAGCCTCCAGACTGAACAGAATACTCAGTTCCGACAATCACATCCAGTTGGGATGCCTTAAACCAACAATGGGCTATACAATCAACCTTACTGAATTCATCGAATACCTCATGAAGACTGGCTTCCCAGGTTTTCGAACTGTCGACAATCATTCTACCGCTCACGCTAGACGCAGGGATGTCTTCAAAGCCAGGGATTGGTCATTAGCGGCGAAGATAGTTTATCTCAAAGGTGTTGAATGGGCCGTCAAAACCTTCAAACCCTATAAATCACCTGGACCAGACGGAATCTATTCCGCCTGTTTACAAGAAGGACTGGGCCTATTGATAAGCCCCCTAGTTAAAGTGTTCAGAGCTAACATAGTTTTTAGACACATGCCCATTGTCGGGAGTGGTACTAGAGTCACTTTTATATCTAAACTAGGCAGGAATGGCCACATCTTGGCCAAAGACTTCAGATCCATCAGCCTTGCCCCTTTATTCTGAAGACATTGGAGAGACTGATTGACAGCCGCATTAGGTCCTTTCACTACTCGACCGCTTGCCTTTTCTCAGTACTTCAAGGTTGTTACCTTAGAGCGGCGATGATCATGAGAACCCCTACGGAGGCACTTGAGATTGCACTCTGTCTTCCACCTAGATCGCTTTATTATCAGCACAGCCAAATTTTCTGCTTACAGATTAAAATGTCAGGGTGAGTAGAGAAGACTATATCTTGGTCATACCAGGCTATCCTCCATGAACACTTATTCTCTCTGCTGTATGATAGAATACCTAAGAAATCCCAGGTCTTTAAGTTCTTCAAAACCCAGATATCTTCTAGGGAGTAAACGAATCTGCCGGCCAAGCTGTGATATTTGATACAGGGATGGCTCGGGGGCAGAAGGATGATTTGGAGCTGGAGTCTACGGTTCAAGGACTAACCATAAGGAATCTTATTCTTTAAGGGAGCTGACGACGGTTTTTTCAAGCTGAGATTCTAGCAATCCTTAAGTGTGCAAACTTTAATTTTAGTTAAAGCTACCAACAGAAATATAGTAATCTGCTCCCGATAGTAGGACAGCTATTAAAGCTATTAGCCCTAGCTAAGACCACCACTGATTCCTCAGTGGTTTGGGTCTGCATGATAGCGCTCAACAGACTAAACACGAATACAATAGGATCACCTTAGCCTGGGTTCCCAGTCATCAGGGAATTTATGACAATAAGGTAGCGAACGGCCTGGCAAAACTAAGCACCCTTGACATTCTAGACTAGACAGATCGTCGGCGGCCCCTTTGCCATAAGTAAAAGATTCATCAAAGAGTCTTTAAAACGGGAACATCTGGTTTCGTGGACCAGGTTCAAGTGGGCTGTCATCAAGTCAAGTTTCTGCTCAACCAATCCCTTTCTAAAAGGACGGATGAACTTCTAACCATGAGCAGAAAGAAACTCAATGTCGCCATTCGCCTACTCATGGATCATATGACCCTCAGAGCCCACTTATTTAATCTTGGCTTAGTCAAACGGAAAGACTGCCGTCTATGCGACAAAGAAAAAGAGAACAACATTCACATCCTGTGTTACTGTCCCGCTCTTGCTCTTAGAAGATACTCTGGGATTATATGTTCGCTGAACCCTGGGCGTTACAAAATATGAGAGTGGGCGAGCTATACAACCTTCTTGTAAGGGCCAGTTGGATCGCTACTTAACTCAGGCAACCACAGGGTTACAGAAGATCTTTTAGATCTAAGTGACATTAGGGACTGATCTAGCCCCACTCGTCTTTTTACTACTACTACTACTACTACTACTACTACTACTACTGTTACTACTACTACTACTACTACTACTACTACTACTACTACTACTATGTATCTTTAAAATATTTTTAAAATTTTTTATTTATATGCATGTATAAACCTTCATTACGAAAAGAAATGAGAATCATCACACTTCTCTAAAATTCTTCTACCGAAATTATCAGAACACTGAATTTCTTAAAATAAAAATGACACAAATGTTATAAAGAATTATTAAATAGTATCGCAATTAAACTTATCCTGATTTTAGAACTCTCGAAATACGACCAGCATATCATCTCTATGCTCGAAACTATAAATATTTCGGATAAAATAATTGTTTAAAAAATTTTCTTATTATTTCCATCGTCAGAACTCATTGAAAAGGCAAAATACATGCCCAGGACTCCAGGTCGAAAACTTTTCAATAATAAACAAAACTATTGAAAATCGGTCGGCATCTTGCTTCAGTTCAGTTTCTATATGAGATATAAGAGATTTACATTTGTTGACTTTTTTTACTAAAATCAGTAGAACTATCATTAAAAAGTATCAGGAATTATGGAACTTGACTGCATGCGTGAAAAACTTCCTTTTATTTTTTAATCTAATAGAAAATGATCTGCTGCAAGAAATTGGCGGATTATTTTTTCGATCGATTTTTTTGAATAAAATTACCAGAAATATTGCTGATAAGTATCAGGAACTATAAAACTCAATTGCATACGAGAAAAATTCCCTTTTAATTTTGGTCTGCTGGGAAATGATATGCCAACTTCACTGACATCTCTTTTTATCTCTCTTCATAATATAAAATTGTAAAAGTAATGTTTATTAATTTCAACATTTTATAAATATAAATTTTTAAGAATTTCATGAACCATATATGATATATACATACATATATATATGTATTGCGATGTTTTTAATTTATAATTTTTATTTTAAACAATTCCTCTTTAAGGTATTAGAGAGGAGGACGTGAGGGAGAGCGAAAACGTCAAAAATACAAGGCGGATAGCGAATACTCGCGGAAGAACAGAAATGGAGGATGTTCGCGCGTGAGCTGCGGCGAAGCGAAGGCTCACGATTCGAGATCTCGAAGTTGGGCAGATACGGTCTTTCACGTATCAGTTCGCTAAACACTAAAGTAACGCGAAAAATGCTTGTCTGATTCGCCACGGGCCGACTAGTTCGCCTAATGGTAGAAGGGCAGGATCAGTGGAAAAGTTAATTGTTCTATGCGAGATTTTGGCAATTTCGAAATTCGACAAACACCGAAATTTCCCGAAAAATTAACACTCAAATAAATTATACGGACTTAATAAAGAAAAATATAACACATTTATTCAAAAGAAAATAATATAAAAATAAAAAATAACAAATCAAAGAAAGAACAATAACAATAAGTTAGAAAACTTGAAATAACGAAATATATAACTGTTTGAGATTGCGATTTTGCAATGCGCACGGTGAATGCCGGGACACATACCCGAGTGAGTATCACGAGATTAAAAGAAAATTCACGCGACCGAGGATTATGGGCAAGTTCAAATAAATGTGAATTTGCTTCGTTAGTTTGTACACAGCGATGTCAACAAGATTTATTACAATTTATTACTGTTGCAATGACGTTCACAAGATTTCATATAAAGTTTGAGTGCAGTGACGCGGAATCGATAGTTTTGAACTGATCGATAGTTACACAAGATTAAGCGAGACAGCAATAGACAGCTGTCCGCGAGAGTGAACGAGACAGCACTACACCGTTGTACGCGAGAGTAAGCGAGACCGCAATATATAGCGGTACGCGAGCGTGATCACTATACATAGCGATACGCGAAAGTGCGCGGGACCGCACTATGCAGTAGCACGCGAGTAAGCGAGACAGCGCTACACGGCTACACGCGAGAGTAAGCGAGACAGCGCTACACGGCTGTACGCGAGAGCGAACGAGACAGCGCTATACGGCTGTACGCGAGAGTGAGCGGGACAGCGCTACACGGCTTTACGCGAGAGTGAACGAGACAGCGCTATACGGCTGTACGCGAGAGCGAGCGAGACAGCGCTACACGGCTGTACGCGAGAGTAAGCAAGACAGCGCTACACGGCTGTACGCAAGAGCGAGCGAGACAGCGCTACACGGCTGTACGCGAGAGTAAGCGAGACACTATGCAGGAGCACACGAGATTGAGCGAAGTCCGAGTGACAAAGGAAGCCCCTCCTATTCACGAGAAAGTGGAGGCACTCGGCTATGTCCTTGCACTCGCGCTCAATCGTTTGAGTTCGTGACGGCTGGATATCGGAAGAGTCGACGCTGGGAGCGGTATAACGACTCCGACCTATGCCGTTTTCCACACGCGAAAATAGCGACGCAATTATCTTGCCGCAAGATTGATCGATGAATGCCGTTATTCCATACGACACTCATAACGTGAAGAGATTTCTAGATTTACGCGTCGCGTATCACTAACGGATGTTCGCGACAATGATTCTAAGAATTTCGTGCACTCGCGTTCGGAGATCTGATTGTTTTCGAGGTAGCTAGTTGACTCTCTCTTTAGAAAGGCTTTCTCCGGCTTATAAAAGGGCTCGTGAGTCGGGTGATTGGAGTAAACCTATCATGATGAGGCACGTCAAATCGCGTGATATCGCGAGTTCCCGATAGGACTCGATATTCCTACGCGATCGCGAGGATCCTTTTGATTTTGTGAGAGATAAGGACGGCGATACGTAATTTTGAGTGCCATTGATCGCGGACGGATGGCGCCATCGATTTGTATTTAGCGGTACATGGATTTTGATTTGGCTCGCTAGTCAAATTCTGAACAATAACAGATATCAAATCGACATCAGTAATAATAATAAATCGATGGATCGAATGTTTGCACGAAATCGATAACATAAGAAAGCGCGGAGTTGTTCCTGGTATTTATTCTAGCTCGTTTTTATGGCTAGACTTTATAAAATCGATCGGAGTTTCGAAAATGTAACGGAATTTCGACTATCCGCTCGTCGAATTCTTGTACAGATCTTTTCCCTTTCTCTTTTATTCGCTACTCTAATCGACAGCAGTATATTCAACAGACTGCGTAATAATCGAGCGAGAATAATAATCATTCAATGATTGTGAAGACGAAGAATCTCGCTTACGACGAGCACGGTCGATGCGATCGATGCAATCGATATTCGACAGCTGTCGGACGCCGCTTACTTTCCTTTCGGCGTAACGCTCTTTACTCACGCGCAGTTCTCAAATTTCGGCAATTTCTTAATTCGTTATAATCTATTATGCACCGCGACACACTCACACGCACGATAAATATCTCGAAATAAGCGTAAATTATATACGTAACGAGCGCCACAAAGACAGGCCATATTTTCAACGTCACAATACACAACGGTCATACATTCACGCTAATTAATACACGAAAATCGCCCAAAGATCGACGGCGGGGATGCCTTACGCGGCTTCGACAACTCTTTTCGGCAGCACGGATAGTGAATGCACTTCCCGCGATTTACCGCGCATGTGGTCGATATATGAGAGCCGGTCGCTACGCGTTTTACAACACCCAAAATCCCGGAGAGAGACAAACGGTTCCTTATCGACTGCGGCCGACGTTAGGATCGTCTTTGATGCCTCGGTCGCTTGTTTCCAGTCGCCCGAAATACACGAAAATCGAAAGTTCGGTACAAAGACCG